GCAAATTTAGTTGCCAAAATTGCAAGGTTATATCCTTAATTTTGCAATAGGCATTGTGATATACAGCAGACAATTTTTTTCTGGTATAGAAAATTTCTTCAGCCATGTTTTTTTCGACATTAATTGGATCAACAAATTGTCGTGTATGTTCCAGAATTAAATAATTGAAATAAATTGATACAACGTGATATATCTTAAAATAAACATAGCTAAAATGACAGCAACAACAAAAATACTTGTTTAATATAAACAGAAAAAAACATTGTCGCCTATCTTTGATTTTGAAATTCTAAAAATACTCGATTTAATTTTAAAACTCAATAGAAATGTTGAAATAAATTAAGTTTTTTTATATCCCTCCCCAATAAAAACAAAAGAAAACATCAATCAGTATCTAAATAAAAATCATACCACTACAACTATACAACAATCAACCCAAATCATTCCCCTGGTGGTGGCGGTGATGATGAACCAATTCCCCCATGACCAGTGCCAATGAATAGTGAAAGTCCATTATTTTACGTTGATTTAAATTAGTCTTTTTCATAGGTTGTTAGTAACTTGGCTAATAGATAGCCAACCACCACATGAAAAAACAACAACAACAACAAGAAAAGAAACCCAACAATTTGTAACACTGCTAACAATTTGCATTACATTTCCTCCCCGTAAGCAAACCGAAAAAAAATCAAAAGGTGTTATTTTTAAAAAATGCGGAAAGATCTGACACTGAACCAAAAATATAAATTGACTGTGAACAGACGAGATGATACCTTTTGCAAATTTTCGCATTCTATTTATTTCCCCTCTAGCTCAGGTGTAGGATATTTGGGGAGAAGGGGGGCTGCTGGGTTTCAGTGTGTAATGATGTTACTTTGCAAATGTCTAAGATCAGCTGCTTTTTTGCAGATATTTTTGTAATTCGTCACAATATTTTGTTGGTGAAATCGTACGACGGAGTGGTGGTGGTACATTGTTTGGTTTGTAATGATTTTGATTTGGTTTTTTATTGTAATTTCTGGCCAAATGGTTGTTGGTGTTGTTTTTGTAGGGATGTATGACTCGTACTTTTTACTACATCATAGATAGGCATTTTCGAAAATAAGCAACAGAAGAAATAAGAACATTAGACAGATATTCGAGAATAATGAGCATTAATTTTTTTTTTAAATAATTACACATTGAAGCAAAGACAATAACAAAAGACGCAAAAACACAGGGGCGTAGTTAAATAATAATGACGAGTAACATTAACTACATTGAGTAACATTAACTACTACTTCTTTAGTATCTTTGATATTTTTTTGTAAGATAAAGTGCAAGAAATATTTGTTATCCTCGAAAGTCTGTTCCTTGCCCAAAGACAAACATTGTTCCGATTGCAGAATATCCTCCTCCACACTTTGTGGCGATGTACGGTGTGCATTGCACAGGTCCAGCCTAAAATTGTTGGCATTTTGATTATTTTACGCTTTTTTCCTATTGCAATAGCATCGATTCCTTACCAAAAGGAATCGATTTTAGTCCAGGATTACATGCATCGCCCACATAACGGTACCATCCCTTTTAATGACAATTTCCATAAAAATGGGGGCCAAAATTTAATATTTCTGGAGTAAAAATGGCATAGGGCTGGTTTTCTTTTTATGGAGTTCGATCTATTTACGAGATTTCTGAAGTTATGGATCGTATTGTTTATACAAATGTGTAAAACGCTATGGTTACCTTGGCTGAGCAATATTCACATTTACTATAACCTCAAACATACACCGAAACGTGGCAAAAATTTGTTTTTCTATGACCTATCAAATATAAAAAAAAATCAAAAACAAATTCAGAAGCAAACAAACATAACCTCTTCACAAAGGTTTAGTTGGATGCGAGGAATAGTCTATCCAAGAATCAAATTGAGCATCTTATATATGTATGTTATACTGTCGATTGCTTTAGTCGCTTTAGTTTTGACCAAGCAAAAATTGGGTCAATTTAATTTCCCGTAGATTATTTTTAATTTCAAAGTAACTTTTGTGTTTATATGTTTTTTAAAGTGAATAAATTACCTTTTTATTTCTGAAAAATGCACTACAACTTTATTTTTAAAACCAGTGAGCGGAACATTAAAGTCGGACGGGGCCGACCATACGATACCCTACAAAATACCACGGAACTCAAACTTTCTGTGGATTTTTATACCCTTCACCACACTGTGGTACAGGGTATTATGTCTTTGTGCATATGTTTGTAACAGGCAAAAGGAAACGAGATAGACACATGGTTCCTTTTGAGAATATGCATAGAATCACTTTCTAAGTCGATTTATGCATGTCCGTCCGTCCGTCTGTCTGTCTGTCCATGTATTTTTGTGAGCAAAGTACAGGTCGCATTTATGATCCAAATTGGATGAAATTTGGCACAGCTCATTTGTTTGGCCCAAGGACGAACCCTATTGAAATTGGGAAAAATCGGTTCAGATTTAGATATAGCTTATATATATATATTTAACCGATTTAATGTACGGTATATATATCTTTCGATTTGCACGAAATTTGGTACAGCCTAATCATTTAGGTCTAGAATGATGTCTGCCAAGTTTCGTGAAAATCAGTCAAGATTTAGATATAGCTCCCATATATAGTTTCGTCCGATTTCATGTAAATGGTGCCCCAAAGTCCCTATATATCTTCCGATTTGCACGAAATTTGGCATAACGTATTGAATTAAGCCTAGAGTGATGTCTGCCAAGTTTCGAGAATATCGGTCCAGATTTAGATATAGCTCCCATATATAGTTTCGCCCGATTTCATGTAAATGGTGCACCAAAGTCCCTATATATCCTTCGATTTGCACGAAATTTGGCAAAACGTACTGAATTGAGCCTAGAGTGATGTCTGCCAAGTTTCGAGAAAATCGGTCCTAATTTAGATATAGCTCCCATATATAATTTCGTTGGATTTTATGTAAATGGTCCACCAAAATCCCTATATATCTTTCGATTTGCACGAAATTCGGCATAACGTACTGACTTGAGCCTAGAATGATGTCTGCCAAGTTTCGAGAAAATCGGTCCAGATTTAGATATAGCTCCCATATAAAGTTTCGTCCGATTTTATGTAAATGGTGCACCAAAGTCCCTATATATCCTTCGATTTGCACTAAATTTGGCACAACGTACTGAATTGAGCCTAGAGTGATGTCTGCCTTGTTTCGTGAAAATCGGCCTAGATTTAGATATAGCTCCCTTTTATTATAGATTGATTTTAAGTAATTGACGCACCAAGGAATTTTGTGATGCGGCCTCTGGAGCTACCAGAAAATCAGACAAAAATAATTTTTTTTTGGTCCATTTCATCTTCTAAATATTAACCGACCTTTAAAAAAAACAAATGCGGCCTGTATCGTGTTTACAAATTATAATGGACAGACGGACGGACACACATGTCTAGATTGACTCAGCTAGTCGAGATATGACAACCGGTATACTTAATGGTGGATCTGGGACCAATATTTCGCGGCGTTACAAACTCTTGGGGCTACACAAAGATATAATACCCTGACAACATAGTTGTGTAGGGCACATGAAGGTACAGTACATCTATTAAGTTTGTAATTTAGTTGCTTCACTTTTGGCCATCAATGTATGTATATTCTTGATTAAAAAAAAATATATGTCGATTTACGCATGTACGGATTTTGGGCACCGGTTTTAACTGAATTGACTGTAATTTGGTATTTTGGGTATCAAATCTGATTACCAAAAACTATCGGTATTTTGAGAATTAAAAACATATTTTTCTCGCTTCTTTTTGGTATGTTCATGGTGCTCCTAGGAGAGGGAGCACCTCATTCTTTTTTTGCACTGGTACTTTGAAAACCCTAGAATTTAAAGGAATGTCTGGAAGACTGTACAGAAGTCGTCCCACTATCACCAGAAGTTCTATGAAGTCCTTAAGGAATTTAGCCAATGTGACATTTAACCAAATGTCTGCTTTGTATATATGTTGTCTTGTAAATATACCTCCTATTCCAAGAATTAAAATATTTGCATTTTGAGAAAACCAACAGACAATCTGTAGACCAGCAAAAGGTTACTGTCTATGGAAAATCTTATATCTGCAGAAGTCGGAAGTCTGTGAAGTGTTCTGTCTGTCGCATAAAAAAACACAGATCATAATCTAAAGATAGAATTCCTTCCCCTCATAACTCTGTGGAAATTCTTCTCGTATAGGCCTAAACATTAATGAAAATTATGACAACATTTGACATTCGCATAAATTAATTTTTGCAAAAACAATTGGACATTCATAAATACCCCAACCCCAGACGAAACGCCACTGAACCACAACAGCAGATTGCTAGTTAGCATTAGTTTTGGCATGATCCGTACAATAACAATGCGCTAGGAGCTGGCCGCTCAGCATAGCCATCGGCCGCAACAACAATACTACGGCAATACAGCAAATAAAAAGGAACAAATAAAAATTGATACATCTGTATGTAAAATAATAATAAGAACAACAACAGCAGCAATCAGATCATTAAAAACGATGCCGCAAATTCGGCATCTGCCGCAACCGCAGCAACAGCGGCAGCTGATGTTGAATGAAGAAAGAAAATGAGACACAATTGCAAAAAATAGCGAAACGAAGTAAAAAACGCAAAAAATGCTTGTTTATTCGGATTTGTGTTTTTAAAATTAGTACTTGGGCAGCTTTCAATACGATCAAGACGTTTTTCTCTCTTCAACAATCAAAAATCAAAGAACTGAACGTTTCAATTACAACAACCAATTTTTTTGCAACAACTAGTTAATAGTACTAGAGAAAAGTTATAATAACAAGAACAGACTTGAAACCAACAAATAAGAAAAAAAACCGAATTGCGAAGTTTTTGTAACGGAAAATTCGAAATATATTTAATTGTGTTTCCAATTTTCGAAGTCACAACAAACTTTCGTTTTGGTGAAGTGTCAAGTGCGAGAGTAACGAGGAAGTCAGGAGAAGACTAAGAAGCAGAATAATGAGCCCTAAGCTACATGAATTTGCAGTAGTACTCAAACGTGATGGTCAAAATACACCCTGGGGTATACGTCTAGTCGGTGGCAATGATCTGGATACGCCATTGATAATAACACGGGTAATACAACAAAAACAATACTAATTGGAAACAAAAAATTAAAGTGACATTGTGACCATGACATTTGTGTAGTTAAAAAAATATTTATTGTGAATTGCAAATTAACCAGTGACATTTATATGAATTCAAAACATATTGAAATTATTGCAATGAACGTAAATTTTAAAAATATTAAATTTTATAAATTTAATACCAGCCAGTAATAATGATTTTTATATGTTTTAAAGTAAAACACATATCTTTTAAATATAAAAAAATTTAAAAATATAAAATTTTTGTGAATTCGAAACTTTTATTATGCAATGTGATATATCGTTCATACGCCTAGTGGTACCCATCTGTAAAAATCAAAGTCATACCAACAACAACAAGAACAAAATTTAAAACCCCAACATCTAAATGAAAAATATCTAATTTATCGATTGTCATCGTTATCGTGTATTCGTCACTTTTCTTTTAAGGACATTTATTGCATTGTGTTTTGTGAGTGTATCGTCCACCAACGCCACGCCATGCCACACTTCTTGCTGGGCACCAATTTATCAAAAATTTGTTTTGGTTCTTTTTTGGGTTTTCAAAAAACTACAGATCATTTATTTGCCAAGTTTATTTACCACAATAAAAATAAGAAAAAAAAAAATTGAAAACAAAACAAAAAATAATAAAAAAGAAATTTCGAAAAAAACTGACGCTATTGCAATACACAGATGATGAAGAAACAAAAAAAAAAGAGACGCTAATCGTCTAAACGATGCCAATTTGTGAATGAAAACAAACACCAAGTAGCCGTTCAAGAAACAAAAAAAGGGCCTCCACTTGTCTCAATTCAGCCAATAGCTGGTCGCCAAAAATACGTTGCATTTTCAGTACCCTACCAAAGCCAACTATTTTGTGATATTTAACTAGTTAGAAAATATCAGTTGATGTTTCTGATGGATGGACCTACACTAGTGGCCAAAACTAAAGCAATTAAAATTGCAAGGTTAATAAATGCAAACCTAATTATGATATATATATATATATGCATATATACCGACCCTACACAACCACTACAGAACTCTAAAGGGCTAAGCAGAATGATCGCGTTGAGCCATCCGTTGCGTTATGTGTTATCGAAAATACAACAACCACAAGGAAACGATAACACAAACGCTCGAAGTTGTTGAGCGCTGCGCTTCGGAGTTAAATATATTTTAACTTTTTGCGTGCGTTAACGCGATAACAAAAAACGCTCAACGCGAACATTCTGTTTAGCCCTTAACTTCCTGCGGATGTTTTGTCTGAGCCTGGGAAATATTTCATTATATTTGCCCTTTTTGCGCGATTAGAGGACAACAACACTTTTTCCTCACACTGACATATTTTCCGAATATTACTAATATTCAAGTACAGCCCTTATAATTACTTTCCTTCACCATGGGTTGTGTTGTAATGTTCGACTTATAATTGTGGCCCTTAGATTGACTCGAAATAGGTAAGATTTCGGTCCACTTCATCCCAAAATTATTATCTGATCAACACCGAAATTTATATGCGTTGTCCTTGACCATAAGTGAAACCACATGGACAATTTGAAAACGATCAGCGCTATATGTCCGCCCTCTAGTGTGGCAGTGGGTCCTTCTATGTCCTTCAGGAGTAAATATATACGCCATAGAATACAAATTTTGTAATAGACTGACCGATCTTTATCAAAACAGACATGCTTATTGTTTGGTCCGATTCCCTTCTCTATGTGAAATTTCGCGATGTTCGCGAAATAAATGCGTCCTCTGGAGCGACCAAAAAAACTAAGAAAAATTAAGTATTTGGTCCATGTCATCCCCTAAATATTAACCGATCTTTACGAAAAACAACAGGGGTCTTCATTGGACAGAATCCATCCACATGCACAATTTGGTGAAGATTGGTCCATAAAATGACCTGTATCGTGTTTACAAATTATAATGGACAGACGGACGGACGGACACACATTTCTAGATCGACTCAGCTAGTCGAGATATAACGATCGGTATACTTAATGGTGGTTCTAGGACCAATATTTCGTGGCGTTGCAAACTCTTGGACCTGCACAAAGCTATAATACTCTGACACCATAGTTGTATAGGGTATTAAAATGGCTAGAAACAAATACAGTACTCCGATAAAACATCTAATTACCAATGATTGTGAAAATAATTTATCACAGAAAATGATTTCGGAGAAATATCCCACGAATAAATCTGTGATTTCTAGAATTGTACGTTGATTTTATACAACTATATCAGTATTGACAGTTCAGCACGGAGAAGGGCTTCAAAAATATCAGTTCGTACTGATCAACAAATTGTCGTAACAGTTGTATATATGGTAGCAGGGCTACATGCCCGGAAACTTCGAAAAAAAGTTCTTTATTTTCTGAAAAGAATCGGAAAGCCAGATTGCCTTCCGGAAAAGCTCAGTCCTCGGATGACTTTAAATTTAATATTTAAGGCACAGAAGGTCAAAAAATGAATAGTTCAAGCCTCAGTATTGCAAGGGTACTGGGAAGCATGGAGGTGGGTATTTTTCTTTTTAATGGAATTCGATTTATTTACGAGATTTATGAAGTAATGGATCGGATTGATTATAGAAATGTGTTGGAATACGCTTTGGTTCAATCCGCCGAAGACAATGTACCATTTGTTTGGTTACTTCAACTTGACAAACAAACACCGAAACATATCAACGATTGGTTGCGCGAGTCAAAAATCAGGGTTTTATAATGTCCAACACAATTATCAGATCTTCACCCTATGAAAAAAACTTTGGGGTATCATAGAAAGCAAAATCAAAACAGATTCAGAAGCAAACAAACATAACCTCTTTCCGAGGGTTCAGGGTGTTAGAAATAGTATATCCAAGGATCAAATTGAGGGTGGTATAGATTCAATACCCCGAAAATGGTTACTCAGTTTGCAATTTCAGTTGCTTTAGTTTTGGCTACCAATGTATATAGACGATATTTGCACCAAACAAGATTCAACATTTGCTTTGGATGATATAAATGAATGTGCCTAAAAGTAACGAAAAAATGGATCGGTACCGTTATATGAGTGCTATACTAACATATGTACCTCTGTACATCATTTTTAAGTAGTTACAATGGCATTTTTATTTAATATGAATCTACAACTTCTCAAAAACGTCTTATTAACATTTCAAGTGAAAACCTCAACAACATTGGAAAATATATCCGATTTATTGTATCAGGATCAAGCGACAGCTATAGTGCTTCTCAAACTTTCTCAAAATAGTGTTTTTACGATTGGCAGGCACGATAACGCCAAAACGATTAATCCAATTGGTTCCATAAGCCTACACAACTGGGATAAATCCCTACATAGCTAGAATAAATCCAATCGGTTGAGTCCTTATTTTCTATCTTTGTTTGTGTTCTCCTCCAAAAAAATCCTTGGTCAGCATTTTTGCTAATTTTCGAGTGAAGTCAATAACCTGTATTCTATGTCAATAATCTGTATAATATGTATTCTTTCTAATTGGAATTGTGAGATTCGGATATTCCAGTGAAAACAAAGACTTTTCTTTAATTACAAAAAACAACAACAACATTTTGAAATTAATTTCTTTAAATTGTCTCTTATACCTTATTTAACACTAGATTGCCGAAGGCGATCATTTTGACCGCTTTTCAATTTCAAGTACAAAAACAACTGTGTATATAATGACACTTTCTTTCAAATTTGGTGACTTTTTGTACCACATAGAATTACGTTTTTATAAAAAAGTCACCAAATTATAAAAAAAAGTGTCATTATATGCACAGTTGTTTTGTACATAAAATTGAAAAGCGGTCAAAATGACCGCGTTCGACAATCTAGTGTCAATAAGAGTATACATTTTGTATAAAGTATTAAATAGTCGAACAAGCTGTGCACTGACTTTTTCGAACTTGTTGAATTTATTATTTGTTTGGCACAAATTCGGCTGGTGTTTTTTTCACATTTTTTTATTTGCTTATTCTTCTTTTGTAATTTGTAAATGTTGCAAATTGCGATTTTCACAATGCAGACGTAGTAAGAAAATAACAACAAACCAAAAATGAAGAAGAAAACAAAAATGAAAAATATTCAAACAAATGATGATGTATTGTTTTATGTGCTGTTTTCCTTTTACATGTTTTATTTTATTTCTTTCGAACGAAAATGCTGTGGTACAAGTTGCCTGTCCGGCTGCCTGGCAGTAGTCATGTAAACAACTTAAGAGAAGAAATCAAAACATTATTTTTTACAGGTATTTTTGGGGTTACACAGACACACACACACCTTTACAAACATCTAGTAAAAATAAATACTTTTATATTGTGGTCATTGTTGTTTTTAAGTGCAACAATATTTTGTTGTTGTTTTTTCATTTCATCTTCCTAGTATAGATTTACAATCACAGGTCCAAGGTTTCGAAATGTTTGCTGTCGTTGCTGTCTTTGTTTGCTGTGCGCTTTTGAACAAACAATGTCAGATCAAATTTTTCAAATTATATGTATTTTTCAAAAAAAAAAAAAAAAAAAAACGAAAATGCAGATATCCTTGAGATAATGTCAAAGCTAATTACAACATTCAATCATGCATACAGAACGTAATTGAAATTAATGTACATATGAACGAGTATGTATGTACATGTATTTGTATGTTCAATTGATATGTTAAGTGATCGAAATACCAAATTGATGGGCTATGGAAATGTTATTTTGAGCGATTGGCGGCGTATTATTAAGGCAAAAAATATTCCATGAAAATGAAAAAATAAATAAAATGAAGTATTGAATATGAAATCAGTGGAACATTAGGTGTTATAAAAATATTCAAAATATAATGTAGGATTATCCAATAAGATAATTTTTTAAATTCAAATTAAATGGAAATTTTTAGGATTTAATGATTGGATGTTTATTTCGCAATAAAGAGAAAGGAATGTGGTTTACATTTAAATATCTATTTTTATATGAACTTTTATAATAAACT